ACCCCCCCCTCAAAGGCCGTACGGTGTGCTGTAAACAACACCTGACGTCTGGAAACACACATGCCGTACCATCATCGTTCTGTGCACCTAACTGCATTTGCGCCAGTGTCTCTGTGAGCAGGGCGCGGAGCCACTTTGACTGTCCATAAACGTCGTGAGCACGCGAAGGCAAAGTTATATAATATATGTACACTGTCGGCAGCATCATTATGTGCAGAAGGCATTTGCGGCGACGTATGGCCGAAGTAATGAACCAGTAAGGCCACTGACCCAACGATTCCATTTCTTCCAGGCTCAGACCCCCATTTATTCCCATAAAAGTAATATATTACCAAAAAAAAACACTGCACCCTGCACCCTGCACCCTGCACCCATCCGAAGTAAATACAGCTTACTACACCATGCAAGAGACACGCCAAGACCCCGAGCTGCTGCCACATCACCCCAAATGTTAAACACAGCAAAGCGCCGGAACCCTCCCGGGTCCTATTACCGCTGACACCATTGCCTGGTATATGTGTCGGTCACTATCCAACACCAATGTCACGCAAAGTGGCATTGTGCAGTCCACACAAATTGTCACGAATGAGACAAGTGCCTATTAAGTTTCCGAACGTGGATATGGGTTACCAGGTACGTGAACCCCAGCGTGTGATAAGGGTGATGACGATGAAAGGGTTGGGAGCCCGACATTGAACCCCCAGTCTTTTGTTTCCGCAGGCATAGAGGCGCCGGACCAGAAGGGCGGCGGTTAGGAACAGCATCGGTCATGGTTGGTCATCAGCAAGGTGCACGGCAGTCAGACTAGAGTCAGAAGTTGATGCAGCAACCTATTTGTCTGCATAACAAATGGCGAATCCAATCAAGTAAACCCCTAATATATGAATGCGTCCATGCCTCCCGCACCTAAACATCAAATCAGGCGTAGAGGTCAGATCGCGTCCAGCTAGGCGTTTGGAGCCGGAAAATAGAGGGGAGCGCGTTTCATGGCGGTTGGTCGATCGTGGGTTTTAAGTGGTAACGAAAATATGTGCATCATTGGCAGGGCTATTTAGCATCATATACGGGGAGCACGCTTGCACACGCTTGCACAGGCTCCCCCCAGGATTGACCTTAAAGGTGGAGAAACGCCAAGGTTTGGCTAGGAGCAATATCATGCATGTACCAATAATGGCTGCAATGACTCCCTGTGAGGGCAGATTGTTGGTACCGTGTTTTTCCACTCTTATGTCTATTCACCTGTGGGGGCTCGGGCTGGGCTGTCCGTGCGAGATGGTTGTCACCTTATAACGGTGCCTTGGCTGGTGGCCCACTGAGCGGTCCTTACCATCGCTAGTACTCGTGGACCTCCTAACTGCCCAAAGGGTCTTCCCCGAGTAGGGCAGATACTACTATTGCAGTAATCTGTCTGACGTCGTGAGTTCGTTTCGCTCGTCCCGGTTCCGGTCCATACAGAAGGGGGTGAGGTCTTTGCGCCACGATCCCTTGGGTTACACGCTAACAGGATCCGTTCGTCCAGTTCCCCGTGGCTATGTTTTGCGCTTTCCTTCCCCAACACATGCCACCTGTGGTTGATATGGATTGGCTGGGTACGTCGTTGTGGGAAAGCAGTAAGCGGTATATTGAGGAGTATGGCTGTTGGCCGTTGCTCGTCAAGTCCCGATATGGATGCTGGACAGAAGGCGGCAGGGGTTTGGGACGAGACGGTTATGAAGAGGCACTCCAGGTTTGTTTTTTCGCTGTTTGGTGATCAGCTGCAGGCGGCACATGTGTAATTGTGAAGCGCACGTGGGGGGAAATGATGAGCGACGGCTCGAGGAAGTTCAGTCTGCTCGAGCTGCTGTGCGCGGCAGAAGGACATCGCTCGCGCATTATTGCCTTAAAATACGCAACGATCAGATTACATATGCCTAATGTTTCGGGGCATCGGTCTGGAGCAAAAACGCCGTCTGATGGACAACGACGAGAAGCGACGCAGACATCACATCCAGCACTTTAGGTGACAATTTGCTGCATGTTTGTTGCTTTATATGTAATCTGCCTCGCATGGAAGATTACCTATCTGTCTAGAGAGGCGTGGTTCATGCCTCTGCAATGACTTTAGAAGTCATTGCACAGCATCGTTAAAGTTAAAGCAGCCCTTTATTCATATGTAGATAACCATATAGTTATATCGGAAATGTTTTCAGAAATGCCGTCGACAAACCGACTTTGACAGTACGCCAGCGCCATCTCGATCCTGCTGAACTGCTTCGCCTCAACTTTTTTAATGTAATTTGGAGAAGTTTAATTCAATGCAGCTTATAGAAATAAGTGCACACCTGTCAGGACATCCAGAATTCTGAAAACTGCGCTACGGGGTTTCCGCACTGGAAACCTGACAACGGTTTCCCGGTGTACAACCGCTGACTACGCCGCTCGCAAAATCGGCATATCGTACCACTACTTCCTCATGGAACAAACTACATAATTCATGCCGATCCCATCTGGAAACGCCATCAGCCATAAGCGCTTCCAACCTAGCGCTGAGAGGTCTACGACACAGTTTGTTACCAGGAAGCTTTAAAACATTTAATTTCAGACATCACTTGTGTCATTAAACTCTACACAGCCAAATATATTTCATCTTCGTGTAGCGACCTCAACGGTACATGGTAAGCACGCCCATCCGTTACCCGGCATATAGCTGAAACACCTAGGTGTGTGAATGCAACATTTTGCGTATGTGCCTTTGAATTCTTAGATGTTGTGTCCTGCCTTGAGCATAGTCCCGTTTTGTCGCCCCTGAAACCTACCCAGGTCAGTTCGACCGGCAAGATGCGTCCACGATATAATACAGCAGCTATCGCATTGCTTGTAGCATCTCTATGTTACGTTAATGCGGAGCGGAGCCTTCTCCAATCGTATCTCGAGTCGTTTCCACCATACGGTGAGTCGCAAATAGTCTATCCAATCTATCCTGATCTAGCCACATCAAGTACCGTCGACCTGCCCACCCTCATATCGTTCATGTAATACGTGCACTTTACGCTTGCTTCCTTCCAAATCCCCATGACAATCCAGTTTTCGCCTCTCAAGCGCTGGCTCCTCAGGTTGCTCACGTCACCCCATTCACTGTCTTTTTGTTAATCTCTTCCGCAGGCTGCAACCGCGACCCGCAGCAGTCCCGCTTCCGCCTCGACCCAGTCTACACCGTCAGCGGCAACCGGGTGTGCATGACTGCCCGCGTCGTGGACTGCGCCAAGCCGGGCTCGGACTGCTGTGACCCCAAGATTGATTTTTACAAGATCGAGCTGGACGTGAACAAGCAGTGCAAAGGCGCCGTGACGGGGGTCACGGTCAATGGAAAACCAGCTCTGGCACCCACGTTCGACCCCTACGCCACCAATGATACCAAAGCAGTGATCAAGCTTACGGTGAGAGCTGCTGAAGGCGATTGCGCACAACAACGCGTCGCTTGTCGGGACGACACCTTGACTTAATAGCGTCCCTTCCGTCGCTTCCCTCCCCAGGGCCTGAATCTTGACCTGACGACTGCGGACGGCGCTGTGGTGTGCATGACGCTGGGCGGCTCGTGTCCCTCCATGGAGACACTCTGTGCGGAGGGCAACGGCTTCTGCAAGTATGCCGTCGTGCAAAGTGGAACGTGCGACTGCTGCCCCGTGGGCAAGCTGGGCTTCTTTGCGCCGCCACCATCTCCTCTTCCGCCCAGCCCGCTGCCACCCAGCCCTCTCCCACCCAGCCCTCGCCCGCCGTCACCACTTCCGCCCAGCCCACTGCCGCCATCTCCGCTTCCTCCCAGCCCCTCTCCACCCAACCCTCTCCCGCCCAGCCCTCTCCCACCCAGCCCTCGCCCGCCGTCACCACTGCCTCCATCTCCGCTTGCCACCATCTCCTCTCCGCCCAGCCCGCTGCCACCCAGCCCTCTCCCACCCAGCCCTCGCCCGCCGTCACCACTTCCGCCCAGCCCGCTGCCTCCATCTCCGCTTCCACCAAGCCCCTCTCCGCCCAGCCCTCTCCCACCCAGCCCTCGCCCGCCGTCACCACTGCCACCATCTCCTCTTCCGCCCAGCCCGCTGCCACCCAGCCCTCTCCCACCCAGCCCTCGCCCGCCGTCACCACTTCCGCCCAGCCCACTGCCGCCATCTCCGCTTCCTCCCAGCCCCTCTCCACCCAACCCTCTCCCGCCCAGCCCTCTCCCACCCAGCCCTCTGCCGCCGACACCACTGCCTCCAACTCCGCTTCCTCCCAGCCCCTCTCCACCCAGCCCTCTTCCTCCCAGCCCTCTCCCGCCCAG